GAAAATTGGATATGAACTAGAAGGTCCATACATGGTGAAGAGCTTGAAAGATGGGGAGCATAAGGGTGTGTTTGAATTCCTTGATGGACGGAAATTGGATATTGAAGTAGACCCAGAATACGCAAATGTGATAAAACACGTGAGATATGAGGATGAGAAGGAGAAGGAAGAGGAAGAATGGCTGGCCGAGTATGATAAGAAACTTAGGGAGAAGCGAAAGGCACAAGCAGCTGCCAAATTGGCTGAAGAGAAAGTTTGATTTAGCTTAGTTGTTTTTTGTTTGAGATAAATTTAAATTTGATATGATGATATAATCTTCCCAGATTTTTCTTTGTCTTTTATTTCTGCACACTATTTGTTATTATTTGGAAAGTGGACATACAAGCAAATGTATTATCAAAAATCACATTAACATATGTACACAGCACTTACAACAGTGGCATTAATGCTAGTAAGTCTATGTTTAGGGGAAAAATAGTGCGCCACTGTTTTTTGCAAAAAGTTGGTGTCATTACCTACACCCTATTCACAAGCATCCATTAGGTTTTGACGTCTAGTGAGGTGAACAGTTGATCGGCAAGTGACATCTTTGTGTTACCCTGTAATGTCGGCAATAGTGAATTGGGTTTAAATGTATTGTTTTTTGTATGCCAAGCAATTATTCTAAATAAAATAGTTGTTACCAAATACAAAATAAATCTGAAGGGTACAAAAAAACTAAAACAAAATATGTCTATGTCTATCTAGCGTTGACGGATCCGTCAAAATTATCTGTCACTTGTCGATATGGGGAATTTTGAAATATTACTAGATAATCAGCTGTCATTCTACCGTAATGGATACTCATGAAAAAAACTTTAAATAACTGGTAACCATCTCAAATACACCGAGGATTGGCCAAATACGCAATTTGAGGTTTAAACAAAATTTTAATACAGCAAGCATATATCTATCTTTTACTTATTGAACTACATCGAGAAATATTCCGCGCAGGGCTCTAAAAATTTAATATAGGATGACATACACCCTATTTCACGAATATCCATCACGCTTTGGCGTCTACTGAGGTGGACAGCTGATCAGCAAGTGACATTTATGTATTAGTCTGCAACGTTGGCTATAATAAATCGGCTTTAAATCTAGCAAACATTTGTAGCGTTTTGTTTTTTGTATGCAAATGAACGTTTGTGAATAAAAGAGCTTTTAGCAAGTACAGAATGAATACGTAGCGTACAAAAAACCAAAACAAAATATGCCTCTGTCTATCTGGCATTGTCATCACGGTAGAATGACAGCTGAATTTCTAGTAATATCTCAAAACACACAATTCTGACACATACGTCAACGCCAGATAGAGAGAGCCGTATTTTGTTTTGGATTCTGTACGTTACAGTTTCATTTTGTACTTGCTGACAGCTCTTTTATTTAGAAACGTTCATTTATTGCATACAAAAAACAAAATGCTCAAATAAGTTTTACTAGATTTATAGCCGATTTATTATTGTCAACGTTGCAGACTAACACAAAAATGTCACTTGCTGATCAGCTGTCCACTTCACGGAAACAGAAATTATTCTCAAAACCTGTTTGTAAACCAATATTACACGATTTAGTTTAGTAACAAAAGAAAGATGTATGCTTACAATTCAAATTCTTTTCTAACCTCAAACTGTGTAGTTGACCAATGAGCGGTATACTTGACATGATTCCCAAATTGAATCTACTAAAAAATTGTCTCTTGGAGTTTTTCGCTCAAATACACCACATGTGAAATATTTTCATTGGCCAATACGTATCAATTTATTCATCATTATCATGTAATAATAATTAACATAAAAAACAAAAAACTGATTTAAGACACTTTTGATTTGGTTGATATGATTGAGAAAAAGATACTTTTGCTAAAACCAGTTTCGTACAATTTCCGGCTACATATATATATATATATATATATATATATATATATATATATATATATATATGCACTTTATTTCAAATTTTCACATACTAAACTAGCCTTTAAATGTTCCTGTCAATATTCTGTAGCTGACTGTATATTTAGAATAAAATAAATTAAGACAAGCTTTGGGAATTATTTAATTCATATAGTCATCTTCTATTTTATTTGAGATCAATGCGGTTACACATTCTTTGATTCTTCACTCTGAGCAGCATTGTGACGTGCCACTGACTGAGACTGCATGATGTATCAAATTTTCGGATCGCTTCCGTGAATGATTCTTCATCTCCTTTATAGATACTTTCCATGAGAGTTACGATCAATTGGTATTCCCTAGATATAAGTTATTTATATTACTAAGACACACAGTAGACATTTATGGCTGGCAGACATGGCAAGGAACTTAAACCCCTTTTTCCACCCATTTTCAAATACCTTGTCTCACGTAGACTTTCAACCTGTCAAAATTATTAGATAAAAAACTGAACAAAAATAATTTCAGTTGTAAAATAGGCTCAGTATTGACTTGTAGTGAACGATAATTATTATAGATATTCAAAATAGATAAAGGATTAAATAGTGATGACAATTATGTACCCATCAGGCCAAAGGAGCTCTACAAGAATACACACTCATTATTCATTTACTTATTTTTTGTTATTACACCGTAAATAATGACGATTTTTCTCTGGTTAGTAGTGAAAAGCATAACTTGCGGCTAAGGGTCTTCGTACACTTTTCGATGCCAAGTTGACCAAGAATATAATTTTTCTGCCAAAAAAAATACATTGGAATTAATAGCCTCGTTACAACGACCTTACCTGCTATTTTCAAAACCTGGATACATATCGATGTAAGTCTGAAGCTTGGGAATGAAATCAGTATCAGTACACAACAGACAAATAGCTGCTCGAAATAGATACTGTTTCGCGCTGTATTTCATCAAAGAGCTGGCCAAGTCAAAACACGCGATTTCTTGAAATATGTTGATTGCCTTCAAAAAAATTATTGTTAGAAAAGAAACGACTTATACAACTTCCACCCCCGTATAGCTGTGATCTATAAAAAAGCATCAAGGATGTAGGGAAGGGAAGTAAAATATCTCGAAAGGTGTTACTATATATTTGTTTTGCTTGCAGTGTTATCATTTCAAAATATAGATAATTTGTCTTGATCTTCTACTTATAAATAGATTTTTTTAACCTAATGTGTACCTTGTCGTAATCTTTTTCCAAAGCGGCATATTCTGCAACTTTCACAAGGCACTTATTGGCAGAGGAAAAATTGCATTCTTGCTTGAAAAGATCCGCAGCTTTTTCGTAATGTTGAATAGCTTCATTCAAATCGTAATCATCTTCCATTAATTCGGCGATATTTTGATGAATTTTTGCCGCCATTAAAAACTTGCCTGCAATGGAATCGTTGATAACAATATTTTTATTTCAACTGCTGTATCAATCCTTTCAACCTATAAGATACGTCTCGATTACTTGTTGCGCCTTCGCCAAATTAGGCAACCAAGGCTACACCATTATGTATCGCAGCTTGCGAAGCTTTGAGAGCTATTGCGTTCCCGTCCGTGCGCGCTTGTGGCGCTATCTAGAAAGGTTAAGCCGATATTCAAGAATAATCGAGACCCGTCTAGATGCACCTACCGCCATCTACCAGCTTCAACGAGAAATCGAGTTTTTTCTAGAAAATGCTGGAGTCCATCGAGAGCCGTCGATTCACCACATAAATATCCGATCACATGGCGGAAGTAGTCATTCAGTGGACAGTCAATAGCGGGCGATAATTCACCACAGGAGGTGGAAGCGTAATCCAGTCAACATGGTTACAAATTGTCATAAATTAGTACAAGTATTATAATTAGTGGGAACGTAATAAATTAGTCTTTGAGCTGTAAGAACTGGATGAACCGTTGATTGTCAAGGTAAGTCCGCAAAGGAAAAAGGTACAAATGAAGAAATGGAGTATATTATGATCAACTTTTAAGGTAAGCTTGCGGATTAACTTTTCTCAACGATAGTGTCCATATACCTATCCTCATTTCATCCTTGTTGAAATAAATTAATGAAACCGGGATTCAAGCAACGAGATGTAATTAAGCGTTACACAAAAGACAATGAAGGTAACTGTGGGAGTTCCACAGGGCTCAGTCTTGAGGCCGTTGTTTTGGACCGTTTTGTACGATGGGGTTCTTTCCGGGAATTCCCTTGATCGGGTTTGTTGACGGTCCAGCGTTGATAGTAAACTAGCAAGGAAAGAGGACCACTATAAAGGATTTTGGCTTTTAGAATCACGAGGATTACCATAAGGGTGGAAGACAATCTATTGAAATTAGCTCCTGAGAAGATGGAAGTAGTTATACCTTCCGATAGATAGAAGCTAACTTCACTGGTCGTTAGGATTGGAAATACCGAGATTCGATGCCCCAATGCGATTGAATATCTAGAATTGTGACTCGACAACGACCTTAAAATGAGTGTACACATAAGGCTCACCACTGATAAGGCAAATAGAGCCGTTGCATCCCGCATCCCCGATTCAGCTGTCATCTGATGAAAGTGAGGCACCAGTAGTGAGATGCGTAAGATCTTGGCTAGGGTAGCAAACTCAATTATACTATATGGAACCCCTATAAAGGGTGTCCGAAAAGTTGGAATTTTACTTTACACGACGAATAGGTGTTGAAAAAAAATAAGGGGGGGGTCTTAAGATGGAAGGAAGATTAGGCTTCGCAGAATCAATCAAACGACATTATAATGACAAACGAATTTGCAATGTCAACACAACTTTTTTGTATGTCTCCGAGGAGATTTCCCTTTCCAAAAAAAAACATACTCTCAACTTCTCCAGTGTGAAATTGGCCTACCTCCCGAACTATAACCGTCTGCTCCCCGTTAATGTCCTCATCAACGCCAGCGTTGATCCAGATGCCCAAGGCTGCGTGCCAGCTCCAGCAAGCGCGTTTAACCCGTTGACATTGAATCAACGGTGTGTCAACCACCACCAACGGTGTCTCGCGTCTCGCCGCGCTGATCAAGGGATGGATGCACGATGCTGAATGCTATCTCGTGTGTGAAATTCAGGATATCGATTATGTATTTTTAACTTGCCCCTTTTCCCCGTATATGTTATGAGCTAACAGAAATTTGTTAGTTTTTGCCAACACCCAACAGGTCGTTTTGAACAATTTTGACGAAAGTAGTGAAGAAATGTTCGTACGCAAGACGTTGTTCTAGTGAAATTTACGTGCGCTTTTGTGGTGTTTTGGATCAACTTGATGGAATAGCAGGAAATCGAGAAATATCAAATGTTATCAGGAGATAATAGGTAAGGTATAGAAGACTTTTGATCGTACAAGACGTCAGGTGAATTAAGATTGAGCTATCAAAAACTTGGTTTTTGCGTCAAGGAAGCTTTCTTAGAGGAAGTTGTGAACCAATGTGTGATATTTGGACGCGAGAGGTTCTTGTAGTGAGGTTGCCAAGCATTTTTTATCTTTTTGAGAAGTTTCTGGACACTGTGTTGTAGTTACAGGAAATCGAGGAATACGAAATGTTATCAGAGGATAATATGTAGAGTTTAACGCTATAGAAGATTTATGTTCGTAAAGGACTTCAGAGGAGCTACCAGGAACTAGTTATTTTTGGCTCAAGGGGATCTTTCTTAGACAAACTTGTGAGCAAATGTGTAATATTTTGATCAGAGAGTTTACTGTAGTGAGGTGGCCACGCGGCTTTCCGCTCTTTCAGGGAAGTTTCGGGAGATTTTTTTGTATTAACCGGAAATCGAGGAATATGAATCAGAAGAGAATAGGCAAGGTTTAGCGCTATAGGAGATTTCTGTTCGTAAAAGACCTCAGCTGAGTTCAGGTTGAGCTACCAGGAACTTGTTAGTCTTTGCCTCAAGGGCCTCTTTTTTAGATAAAGTTGTGACCAAATGCGAAAATAGTGTGGATGCTGGAGTTTGTTGTAGTAAGGTTTCTTTGCGGATTTTTGCTCTTTTGGAGAGGTAGTTGACCCAGGTCATATTCCACAAAACTGCACATGAGGTTTACTGATGAAAAATAATTTTGTTAACACACAACTTGTTTCGCTATGGTCAACATCGACTCATTCTTATTGGCAAACCGTTTACACTTGATTCATGGCCTTATCAAAGTTATACTGTTAAGATGCACGTCCACTAAGGGGAAGAGAAGAGAAGCGAAATTGTTCCACTGGGCAGGACTGCCAGACGTACGAGAAACCTAGTACATGAACTAGATTTTTAGTTTCTGTACGAGATAAAAGATTAATATAATATAAATCTCGTACACTTTTGTATGATATTTTCAAAATGACAACTGCGCACCCCCTGCCGGTTGGCCAATAGCTGGTCAGTCAAACGTAACCACGTCAAAGACTCTCAACACGATGACAGTGTTGCTATTCCATTCTTTAATACTTTAATACCGATTTTTTTAAAACTATATCAATACAAACCGTTTATTGCCTTTCTCTATCTACAAAAATACATCATCATTAAGTAAATGTTGATATTACTGAATCATATCAATTCTAAGTATTCCCATTATATACTTCGTAATTGATCGTACTACTACAGAATAGCAGAGCATTGGTTTCAATTTTTACAAGTTTGTAATGTGTCAAATAAAGCAAACGACCCTCCTTCCCGCGTCCATAGGCTCCACCGAACTGAAGTTCTATACACGCCACTGTACACGAGATCTTGAACAGAATGTACGAGAAGTTTAGTATCGCTGGTACGAGAAACAGATCTTGGCGTCTGGCAACCCTGGCACTGGGCACCTTTACGTATAATCAAATAAAAGCCAGCTCACTGGACAAGGGCGTACCCAGCTCAAAAAGCTTGAAAAAAATGTTTGGTGAATCAACATCGACTCATTCATATTGGCAAACCGTTTACACTTGATTCATGGCCTTATCAAAGTTATACTGTTAAGGTGCACGTCCACTAAGGGGAAGAGAAGAGATGCGAAATTGTTCGACTGGGCAGGATTGCCAGACGTACGAGAAACCTAGTACACGAACTAGATTTTTAGTTTCTGTACGAGATAAAAGATTAATATAATATAAATCTCGTACACTTTTGTATGATATTTCAAAATGACAACTGCGCACCCCCTGCCGGTTGGCCAATAGATGGTCTGTCAAACATAACCACGTCAAAGACTCTCAACACGATGACAGTGTTGCTATTCCATTCTTTAGTACTTTACTACCGATTTTTTAAAACGATATCAATACAAACCATTTATTGCCTTTCTCTATCTACAAAAATACATCATCATTAAGTAAATGTTGATATTACTGAATCATATCAATTCTAAGTATTCCCATTCTATACTTCGTAATTGATCGTACTACTACAGAATAGCAGAGCATTGGTTTCAATTTTTACAAGTTTGTAATGTGTCAAATAAAGCAAACGACCCTCCTTCCCGCGTCCATAGGCTCCACCCGAACTGAAGTTCTATACACGCCACTGTGTACGAGATCTTGAACAGAATGTACGAAAAGTTTAGCATCTCTGGTACGAGAAAAAGATCTTGGCGTCTGGCAACCCTGGCACTGGGTACCTTTACGTATAATCACATAAAAGCCAGCTCACTGGACAAGGCCGTACCCAGCTCAAAAAGCTTAAAAGAATGTTTGGTGGAAGTTCATATCTTTCTTTCTTTCTATTTGGATTTTACTTATATAGAGTCTTCTACGACGCTTTTACGATTCATATGGATATAGAAAACTACTAGGATTGCTTTTTTGAAACATTAAAACAATATTGCGCGAGGTATGCTTTTTAAGTAATAATTTAGTCGTTTGGAATACTTGAAATCAACACTTGAGATAATATACTAAGTGACATATAAATCCGAACACCCAGTTTAAATGGTTTTATTTTAATAAAATTTTGTACGTATAAGTACTTAATGAAGCATAATAAGTAAATGATAAAAAATTCAAAATGATTGCACTGCTTTAAAGCCCTTTGACCTTTAATAATGTGTGGATGCACCCTGATGTGCTACGCATTCTCCAACGCGCCTAGGCATGCTTCTGATCAGGTGGTCAATGTCCTCCTGTGGTATCTCATTCCAGGCAACCACCAACTCCTCTCGAAGTGCTTCTAGAGTCTGAGGAGGACGTTGCAAATTGAGCAATCTCCTACCCATCATATCCCACACGTGCTCAATGGGGGATAAGTCGGGAGATCTTGGTGGCCATGGTAACAATGTGACATCATTATGTTGAAAGAAGTCTATTGTGACTCTTGCAACATGTGGTCGGGCATTATCTTGTTGGAAAGTTGGATCTGCCAGTGTGTCAAGATAGGGTAAAAGATGGGGTTCTAGAACTTCGTGGATATAACGCTGCGCGTTCATGTTACCTCTGATGAAGATTAAAGGTGACCTGGAACCATAAGCTATAGCACCCCAAACCATAACTCCAACAGTGTGATGAACATGTCTTTCAACAAAAAACTGTGGATTCCTCCTTTCACCACGTCGCCTTCTAACCCTGGCACGACCATCGTGCATGCCTAAACAAAATCGAGACTCGTCACTAAAGACAATACTGTTCCATTCCTGATCCCAGAGTGACCGTTGTCTGCACCACTCAAGGCGATTACGTCGGTGTTCTCGAGTTAAAGGGAGGATCCAGTGTGGCCGGAATGAAAACAAGCCAAAACTTCTCATTCGTCGGTAAACACTTCGCATGCCAATAGGTCTTCCGTGTTCTGCAAACCATTCATTTGCAATGGACCTGCTAGTGGAGAAACGGTCCCTTAAGGCCAATAATCTTAGGCGGCGATCTTCACGGTCTGTTGTTCTACGGCGGCGTCCGGTGCCCCTTGCTCTTTGCATACGGCCTTCTCGAAGCCATGCCTGACAACACCTAACCACAGGGTCTACACTTCTTTGCACTCTAACTGCAATTGCCCGAAAAGAAAGTCCAGCTTCCCGAAGTCCCACTATACGGCCCCTATCAAACTCACTAAGTTGACGAAATCGTACAGGTCTCCGTACTCTAGGCATCGTAACCAATCGTAAAGGATGTCAAGAACCAAAATCCGCCAACGTTGATTCTTTACTGCGGCTGAAATATTCATTTTTAGAGCGTTAGTGAATTAAAAAAAAGCAGTATAAAAACCGGAATGTCCAACTGATAAGGCTGAACATTTTTTCACTTGTTATTTACAGTAAGATAAATACATTCACCAACTTTTATTAAAATAAAACCATTTAAACTGGGTGTTCGGATTTATATGTCACTTAGTATATATGACATAGCAAAAAATAGTTTTATAGAATATGTACCTAATTTGTTCTAGAATGATCTCCGAAATGGTAAGAGATACGGGTCGGTTGAATGGTGGCAAAATTGCGTATTTATTTATTTTAGAAAATGCATTTGGAAGGTTTTGACGCTTTCAATATCTCCGGAGATGCACGGAGAATGGAATGTTCTCAAAACAAAACTAAAACCAGGAAAAAATAAAAACTGAAATACCCTCAATTTCGAAACCACCCAAGTTCCATTTTTTATTTACCTAAGCAACTTGTCCCCACAAAGTACCCCGCATCATTAAGGCGATTGTCACAAGATGTAATTTATATTGACCGTGAACCTTGGACGTCAGTAATTATCGATGCATATTTTTCGCAGAAATCCTCTGGTGGTACGGACCACAGTAAATACTGATTGTGTGACGATCGTGCTTTTACCAAAATTTATATCTAACATTGCAGCTCGTCCTCAGTGGACTTGCAGCTTTACAGGATCTGGACCTATAAATTCAGACATCGTGAAAAGGAAGCTCTATACCCCATTTGTAGTCTATTTACGCCCCGGCACAACAAAGATGCATCGCGGCAAAGCGGCAACCGCCTAAACGTATAGCTATTGGACATTCGGTCATAAAACTACGAACAAGTGCAGGATTCGACAGGATGGAACTCAGGCTCGGGGTATCGCCGGCAGTTGCTGTTCATATTCGGTGCATACATAGCGTTTATTTATACGTTAGCATGTCGTCTACGGATACAGCAGATGGAACTGAGAATATTTATCCAAATTCTTCCTTCAGCCATGCTTCCTCTTCGGTGATGTCTCCTCCCCGGCAGAAGAAGGGACATTTGCATTTTCAAGCAAAATAAATTGTGGCGAACTAATCAGGCTTATCTCCTAAGGCAATTTTCAACATTGTTAAAGAAAATAAAAAAATTGTATCCACCACACAAGAGGCTGCATGACACGAAGCTGTTGTTTGCCCTATGGCCATTTCAGCCAAAGAAAACGACCGACTACCATGAGGAAATAGACGGGAGTTCATTTGAACGATAGTTTGAAGAAAAGCTCCCAAAGCTTGACGACTATGCCGTCACTGTAATTGATACTGCTGCATACCACACAAGAAAACTAGGAAAAATTCCCACAATGTCCACAAGAAAGGCATAAATTCAACAATGGCTCGTATCAAAAGACATTAGTTTCAATGGAAATATGGTCAAAGCAGAACTAATCCATCTAGTCAGGCAGCACAAATTTAAATATAATCTTCATTATATAAAATAAGATCATTTAACGCTACCCCCTTATCACTGCGAATTAAATCCCATTGTAATGATTTGGGTAAATATAAAAAACGATGTGGCTTCAAACAATAGAACATTCAAATTTTTGACGTGAAAAATTTGTTTCATGAAGCTGTCAACAGAGTGACGGCAAACCATTGGAAAGATTGCATCCGTCACGTTCAAGAGGCAATCGAAACAAAGATGTGGGATCTGGACAAGATGATCGATATTTAAATTGAACCTGTAATAAAGTATTGTGAAAAGTATGTGCACTTCTTTTTATAAAAATAATCATTTATTTTGTTAGATTATTCCAAGACCATTGAGGGAAATACGGAACTGTACACTCTCGCTTTTGGGCATCTTGTGTTTTGTCTAAGCGTAAATGGACTACGAATGTATAGATCGGAATACCAACCTTTCTCCTGGTACAACTCGATAGCCTTCGTGTACAGATCAATCGCTTTGACCACGTCGCACTTTTTGAAGCACACTGCTGCTTCAACATAGTTGATCGCAGCTTCAGCTTCATTGTTGTTTCTCAAGCATTGATCTCCGGCATCTTCAAACGCATGTCCAGCCTGACTCCAGTTCTTCGACATCTTGAATAAGTTAGCTGCCCGCATATAGTACTCTATCGATTCTTCTATCCGCTCTGAGGACTTTGTGAACAGGTTCTTTAAATTGAAACGTAAAAACTGAGGTTTATCTCAGAAATAGTGCTTTTCTATACGTTTTATAAAAAATCATCCAAAGGTTTGTTCCTGCAGTGGTCGGTGACTGTATCCGGCCGAGATCTTCGACACGATCACTGACAGGTTGGCGACTGCTGTACGAGCAGGGCTTATAGCACGGTTTTCGCTTAAAAAAACATTATTTGCATGATCATAACAATATCGATAATATGACGATATTACTTTGCAGGGAAGATTTTATTTTTTTACGTGAAAACTGTGCATTGGACTAAAAAAATTCTCTGCTCATAAATGAATACAGTTTTCTTTTTTTTTATTTTAAGATTAGTCAGTGGCGTTCCAAATGATTTATTTCTCTCAAAACCTAAGACGTTTAGGACATACGCTCATTTGAAGTTTTGTTCCTAAAGTGGACTCAAAACCGTCCCCTTAAATACTGACATCAATCAAGAAACATGCTGTATGTGGTACCATTAACCGCCAGAAATTATGGGGAATTATCAGATGTTTTCTTTTCAGTTTTGCCGTCTGCTCACTGTTTTACTGCCTACACCACTGGGCGAGGAGGTATTGTAATCGAGAAAAATTTCTAAAATGAGATATGGTTTTTCGATGTTATATGACATGTCATGAAAAACCATACCACTCCTTTATTTCCGTCGGTATGTCTGTCTGTCGGTCTATCTGTCCGCTAATCGTTGGATTGTCTATAACTTCGGAAGTAACGCTCGCACTTGGATTAAATTTTCACACAGGGTAACTACTATGCCAAGGATGAAACATATTTGTAGTTTTGGAAATCGATCCAGTACAAACGGAGCTAGGAGCTAATATACTAAGTGACATATAAATCCGAACACCCAGTTTAAATGGTTTTATTTTAATAAAATTTTGTATAAGTACTTAATGAAGCATAATAAGTAAATGATAAAAATTTCAAAATGATTGCACTGCTTTAAAGCCCTTTGACCTTTTATAATGTGTGGATGCGCCCTGATGTGCTACGCATTCTCCAACGCGCCTAGGCATGCTTCTGATCAGGTGGTCAATGTCCTCCTGTGGTATCTCATTCCAGGCAACCACCAACTCCTCTCGAAATGCTTCTAGTCGGGAGATCTTGGTGGCCATGGTAACAATGTGACATCGTTATGTTGAAAGAAGTCTATTGTGACTCTTGCAACATGTGGTCGGGCATTATCTTGTTGGAAAGTTGGATCTGCCAGGGTGTCAAGATAGGGTAAAAGATGGGGTTTTAGAACTTCGTGGATATAACGCTGCGCGTTCATGTTACCTCTGATGAAGATTAAAGGTGACCTGGAACCATAAGCTATAGCACCCCAAACCATAACTCCAACAGTGTGATCAACATGTATTTCAACAAAAAACTGTGGATTCCTCCGTTCACCACGTCGCCTTCTAACCCTGGCACGACCATCGTGCATGCCTAAACAAAATCGAGACTCGTCACTAAAGACAATACTGTTCCATTCCTGATCCCAGAGTGACCGTTGTCTGCACCACTCAAGGCGATTACGTCGGTGTTCTCGAGTTAAAGGGAGGACCCAGTGTGGCCGGTATGAAAACAAGCCAAAACTTCTCATTCGTCGGTAAACACTTCGCATGCCATTAGGTCTTCCGTGTTCTGCAAACCATTCATTTGCAATGGACCTGGTAGTGGAGAAACGGTCCCTTAAGGCCAATAATCTTAGGCGGCGATCTTCACGGTCTGTTGTTCTACGGCGGCGTCCAGTGCCCCTTGCTCTTTGCGTACGGCCTTCTCGAAGCCATGCCTGACAACACCTAACCACAGTGTCTACACTTCTTTGCACTCTAACTGCAATTGCCCGAAAAGAAAGTCCAGCTTCCCGAAGTCCCACTATACGGCCCCTATCAAACTCACTAAGTTGACGAAATCGTACAGGTCTCCGTACTCTAGGCATCGTAACCGATCGAAAGGATGTCAAGAACCAAAATCCGCCAACGTTGATTCTTTACTGCGGCTGAAATATTCATTTTTAGAGCGTTAGTGAATTAAAAAAAAGCAGTATAAAAACCGGAATGTCCAACTGATAAGGCTGAAAATTTTTTCACTTGTTGTTTACAGTAAGATAAATACATTCACCAACTTTTATTAAAATAAAACCATTTAAACTGGATGTTCGGATTTATATATCACTTAGTATACATAGAAAAATAAAAATACGTCAAACTTCGTTCTTTGAGGTTTTAGATGCTACTGATCATTTTCAGATTGATTTTTGTAGGAATTGAAATCCAGATTTTGTAGGAGGAGGAATTTTTATTGCCGTTAGTATATTTATATGCTCTCAGTCCCGGTAGTTCTATGCAGGTATTAGCCATATTTCATACATCATATATTCCCCCATACATTTGCTCTTAAAACTTGACCGATAACTTACAGCAGCGGTGCTGCAGTGGGTGCTGCCGCACAGATGTGGAAAGGGACAACGTTGCCAGATGGGCAGTAACTACCGGTACGGCAGGAAAAGAATGTCTATGGACTAATTGTATGGGCCTGTCTGAGTGACTTGATCCGTTTGATTTCCCTGTTGTACATATTTCTCAGAGGATTTAAACTGTGCTGAACCAAATCCTTTATCAACTGATGACGCCGTTGCGTAGGAAGTTCAGAGTCAACCTACTTGACGCCATTTATTCCTTACTTCTACTGCTTGTACCAAATCCAAACCCGGGTTTTCAAATGATTGGCATCTCTAGAGGCCACTATACTCCCAAAATGCGCAGCACGCCTCAGCACACCTTTATTTTGGACGTTGTTTAGAAAAGGTTGTAAAAAGTTTGTACTAAATTTGTTTATACAAAATTATATACTAAATGCTACCTGACCCTATCATTAATTTTATACAAAATTTAGCATACTACATTCAGCAAAAATGTCAACTAGTAGCAGACAACCTCTCTATCAACTCTCGTTTGAAAATTCAAGCTATACTATATGTACGGCAGCGTTGTGATTTGTGTTTAAAACTTGCGAATCGATCTCAATTAAGTTTTGAATATGCGTTGAACTCATTTACTATGTTACCCTTTCATATTTATCATGCCATTAATGTGCACAGCTGTATTAATCTACATCTATCGATTTGCGAGTGCCTATGTGCTCATGTTTTGCTTGATTATACAGGCCGACAAGATTTTTACCCATAAACCAGAGTACGAGGTCTGTAAATTAAGTAAAGGAGACAGGGAAACATGTGATCCGCGATCAGTACAAGTTTGAACTTGCTCGAGTCATTTGATTGTCACTGGCGGTTTTTTGTGAAATGTGTGAAATTAAAATGAAAATTCCAGTGCCATATCTCAGCAACAGAAAAATATATTTAAGCAATGTCAACGACATTTAAAAGGGTAATGCTACACAACCTGGCAATCGCTAGTTTTGCACTTTGAGGTTAGGATCTCTGAAACTATACTCGGGTACCGAAAAGGAAAAGAGCAAATCACATCACACGCCCAAGCTACCGCGGTATCTCTTTACATATGGCGGCATACCCGCGCGTCGACTTGAGAAAAATAGTAGTGCGTTGTACATTTGTAGCTTATCGTTTGTAAGCTAAGTGACAAAAAACGCATAACTGAAAAAATGGTAGGCAAAAAGGATTATGATATTCTTAGAGCAGAGAAAATATTTCCTGCATCACTTATGTAGAAATATTTGGGTGGAATATGCACTCAACAATAAAATGTCGAATTATAAAAGTAAATTGAGGGATTACCCTGAAGAATCCTCCAGAACTCAGCTTCTTCTCAGCTTCCTGCATCAATTGATGCGCCTTGGTTTCAATATGAGACATTTTCACGAAGTTTGCGACCAATTTTCTTCGATTTCCAGTAATATGACAGACAGATGGAGAAACGTCAAACGCCAGGTAGCTAAGTCGAAGTAATTTGTCTTAAGTTGCAAGAATGTCGTCGGACTCGAAGGTGGGACTCGACAAGAAGGAGAGCAGCAGAGGAGTCAGAATAGGAAAGATACTCTCTGCTAGAGGAACAGGAACGGAAAGCAAGGATAACTCATCGCCGTCGTCAACATTTTTGGTGAGTACTATAGAGAGTAGATTATAAGAGCTCAAAATTGGGCTGCGCAAACGCGAAAGACACTTTCAACTAAGAGCAAAGATCCACCGGCAGAGGTATTACGTATTGAAAAGTGGCATTATGTCGGTTTTTTTGACATTATACGAGGTTTGTTCAAAAAGTATCGCAAATTTTGAATTTTCGCGGGCTACGTATGTTCGATTTTAGATCTTTTGTGGCGTTATGTTGGTACTCATGACCCTCACTAATGTTGGCATTTTGTGTGTTCAGTCAGTTTTTGACAGCTATTGTGCGTGGACTAATATTTGAGCTTGTCTCCAATTTTTGTCTATTCCAAAAAACGGATCGAAGAATTTGTATTAAATTTTGTGTAAAAAACAACTTGAAGTACGCGGACCTATTCCAAATGTTGACTGTTGCATAGGACGAAGCTAATTTGGCCAAAAGTAACGTTTATCGGTGGTAAAAAATGTTCTCACAGGGCAGAGAAGATGTGAGCGACGAAAAGCGTTCCGGACGCCCGACAGACGAAAACGTTGATGAGTTCTTGCCGCAGGGTAGAACGGTCAATAGGAAATATTACCTTCAAGTAATGCGCAATTTACGAGAGGCAATCCGCCAGAAAAGCCCGGATTTGTGGAAGAACATGTTATTATTATTACTGTACTGATGTTTTCATAGTAATGTATCATATTGTATATACCTGACAACGGTTGTGGAATGTCAAAGTCAGTTAAGAACTAGACGTGGTATCGAGCGGTTGTATAGGGAGAATATATTCGAATAGTGCGATACTCTTGTTTTTCTTACAAAGCAGCGGTGGGATACCTTAAAATCAGTTGAATTTTCCTACATCATGGGGAAAACTAAATTCAAATCGCGGAATAGAAGTGGGAAGCGGAGCCGAAAGGAATCCTCGAGTGAAAGTGACAGTTCGAGTTCGGCCTCTTCCCATAGATCGTCTTCAAGAAAAACTATAAAGAGATTGAGAAAAGAATTAAACGAATTGAGACGGTACCCGGCAATCATTCGTACGGGAGATGAACTCTTAGTGCCGACGTTTGATCCTAATCGGGACGACGTGATGGTGGATAAGTGGCTGGATAAAGTTGACCGTTTGGCAGAGCGCTATCACTGGGATGACGATGCCATTCTACGACTGATTTCTGGAAGACTGCGAGGCAATGCCCGTCAGTGGTACGAAGAAAATGTGGACTACGACTCCAGTTGAGATGAAATTAAAAGATCAATGAGCCAGCACTTTCGTAAGTCCGTCCCATTTTCTAAATTATTCAAAGATGCCGCTAACTACGACGCAGCACCAGGGCAAAATTTAGGCGATTATTGTTTCAAAAAACTGTCCAAATTGAGAGCACTCAATATACAAATACCTGATCCATATTTGATTGATGCAGTGATTGGTGGTATCAGGGATGAAAACATAGCAAGAACGGTCAGGGCTGCACAACATACGGACGCAAACGCTCTATATGCTTACTTAAACACTGTAGGCGAAATGCCTCAAGAAAAAAAAAGTCCTCATCTTAATAGTGGAAATTTTCAGCCGTCAACATCGTTCAGATCTGGTTATGGCAATCGTAATAAAAAGGAAGTCAATAAGCCTTCAGGCTCGCGCCCAACATGTTTTAATTGCGGTATCCCGGGCCATATTTCATCCAGTTGCAGAAAGCCACGCGTGGAATGTACCAACTGTAAAAGATTGGGACATCTTAAAGAAAAGTGCCCTTTTCCGCGTAAGGAAGTGCATCAAGTTGAAGCACTAACGAGTGTGGGTTCTAATATTTTTTTGCAAAATGCCCGAATTTGCGGAAAGAAAACAAACTGTTTAATAGACTCTGGCAGTTCTAACACACTCATAAAAGAATCACTCGTTAGAAAACTTGGCCTTCTTCGTACGGATTCGAAGGATATGACTTTGTACAGTTTTATGGGTACCTTTGTGAACAGTACATCGTTTTGCAAGATCACCGCTAGTATACAGGGAGTTTCAGCAGAAGTGCGTGCCATAATTGTTCCGGACAAATACCTGAAATTTGATTTATTAATCGGGAGAGATTTTATTAACCAAGAACACGTGGTTATGACTAAACGTGAGAACCGATTAATTTTATATAGGTTGCCTCCCACCGAAAACCTTTTTGTGAACTTGATAGAAGTTTTCGACAATGGCTTGGATCTCAATAATATACAGATAGGTGCTATTTCGGAAGCCGATAAGAAGGCCTGCATTTCTTTGTTGCATCATTTTTCGGACTGCATCTCATCTTCTATGAAACATTTAGGAAACACGGATACAGTAGAAATGGAAATAAAATGTTTGGTCGACACGCCAGTTGCGCGTCATCCCTATCGAATGCCCGACATAGAAAAGCAAATTCTTCGAAATATGATTCAGGAACTATTAGATAACGGAATAATTCGTGAATCTAGCTCCCCGTATGCCAGCCCAATTACACTAGTGAAGAAAAAGGATGGGGACTATAGAATGTGCGTCGACTACAGGCAGCTCAACGCGGTCACCATAAGAAATCATAGTGTATTACCGCATATTGAGGATCAAATAGATAAATTAGGAGGATTTAAATATTTCACAAGCTTAGATTTGGCGTCCGGGTTTTATCAAGTCCGTATGGCTGACAACTCTATTGAAAAAACGGCATTCGTAACCCCTGACGGCCACTACGAGTTTCTACGGATGCCTTTCGGACGTACCAATGCTCCTTCTGTTTTCCAATCATTAATCAACAAAGTACTAGGACCATTAAAAAATGAATACGCCTTTCCATATATCGATGATATCATAATTGCCTCGTCTACGATCGCAGAGGGACTAGAATGGTTGGCAAAAGTATTAATTCAACTTCGTGCACATAACCTCACTTTGAAAATCAGTAAATGTGTATTTCTGGAAACGACAATTGAATACCTTGGAAGAGAAATTAGCGCAGAAGGGGTGAAACCTGGAAAAAGATCCGGGCAATTTTAGATATGCCATTTCCTCGCAACGTTAAGCAAGTACGTCAATTCCTCGGATTAGCCAGTTATTTCCGGAAATTTATTAAACATTTCTCCATGATTGTCGAGCCTTTAACAAGATTAACCCGTAAAAATGAAATTTGGACCTGGAACGCACCACAAAGGCAGGCATTCCATCAAATTCAAGAGGCATTAACATCACGTCCAATTCTTGCAATATATAACCCCAAATTGAGGATAGAACTTCATACAGATGCGAGCTCTATTGGTTTAGGAGCAATGTTACTTCAATTTGACTCTGAAGGTAAATCACGTGTCGTTTCCTATTTTAGCAAACAAACAACATGTGATCAACGACAATATCACTCATACGAACTCGAGACTATGGCTGTAGTTTACGCTCTAAAATATTTTCGAGTGTATTTGCTGGGGATAAATTTCAAGATAGTCACCGATTGTAATGCTTTACGGACGACCCTGTCAAAAAAAGATTTAATTCCTCGTATTGGAAGATGGTGGTTGGAGATTCAGGAATACTCTTTCGAAATTGAGTATAGAGCTGGTAAAAAAATGACTCATGTAGACGCCCTCAGTAGAAACCCTATAGCAATCACCAACCTTGAGTTAGAAGTGTTCCAAATAGATTTGACGGAAGCGGATTGGATTACTGCAGCACAATTACAGGATGAACAGATTTGTAGAATTCGGAACATACTATCGAGTAAAGTAAGGAATAATGAGACGAAGTTATATTTCGATAAATACGAATTGAAAAACGACAAATTGTACAGGAAATTAGACGATGGAACTAAAGCATGGGTTGTTCCATTAGCACCACGTATGCAAATTTGTCGTTTATGTCACGACGATTCTGGACACCTTGGAGTAGAAAAGGTTTTACAGCGAATAAGAAGAAACTACTGGTTCGCGAAAATGAGAAAATTCGTAACAAAATATGTTAACGCTTGCCTAAACTGTATGTACTATAAGAAGTGCTCCTCAAAACGGCAGTGCAAATTAAATCCTATAGAAAAACATCCAATCCCCTTTCATACGATACACGTAGATCATGTTGGACCATTTGTGACAAGCAAAAGAAAAAATAAGTATATTTTTGTAATTGTTGACGCATTTACCAAATTCACAATAATAGAGCCGGTACATGATCAGAAAAGTAAACACGTGATCAAGGCTTTAACTGACGTAATCCATTTATTTGGGGTACCTTCAAGAATTATAAGTGATAGAGGTACGGCCTTCACATCTCGAACCTTTAAAATGTTTTGTGACACATATGGAATAAGGCATGTCCTAAATGCAGTCGCCACGCCAAGGGCTAACGG